TCATTCACTTAGCTTGAATATCCATTCACATAGAATGAATTTAACTTTCTAGTCCTCGAAGTTGGTTCTAGCCCTCACCAGAAATCCCCTTTTGCAGCGATATGGACTTGAATGAGGTCGGGTCATCCAAACATAGCTTCATGGAAGCTTTCCAGGATCTTCTCGCCCATTGGCAGAAGAAAGGAAGCGGTGTGTGAAATGCTCTCGAGCCTACAGGCGTTCCATCAGATTCTGTCCATTCCTTCGTCGCCTCAACCTTAGAGGCTGCCCCAGTACTTCTTGCTTGCAGTAATTCAGTGCCATTGGCAGTGCTGAAGAAGTGCAGTTTAACCATCCAGCTTTCTCAGAGAATCATAGCCTGCGGCTATGGTCTGAGTTAGCTTTCTATCCAAATATTAAATAGTCGCTGCAAGAACTGCCCTCAGACATAATACTGTGCAACGACTACTCCCCTTGGCCGTAGCTTTCGGTGCCATCTTCGCCCCCCTCCGTGGTAGCTACCGAGATGGCAGCACATAGTCCTAGTGTTTTGATCTGTTTTTTTGTTGGTATAAGTTGGTACTCAAGCAACTTGGTGTTTCCTTGGAGTGAATTTGAATGACTATTTGGCATAGATGGAAGACTCCTCGCGGAAGGTCAACCAGAATGGAGGTGAACTTTCCCCGACGGAGGTGAACCTCAGCAGTGCACGAGAAGATATTTGCCAAATTAGGACAATATTGGCTCACATGTTTTTACCAATAATGTCCCTTCATGTCCCTTCAATATGTTGCTTTTGTTGTATGTATGTTGTTGTTTAACCAAGAGTGTGCCTTGAAATTCCATATACCTGCTGTATGAACATCTCCAGGTTGATCACCCCGTTGGTTTGCTTGTTTCAAGCAGCCTCGAGTGCAGCCAAGGTCCGCTGGGTGTGCGCGACCTGTGGTGGTGACCATCGCACGAAATCATGCCCGCATGCCACAGGGATGCTCAGCGTGGGCGTGCAATCTGGGATGCAGATGCTTGGATCACTTGTTGTGTTTCAACAGATAAGCATCCAATCCATCCATCACTGTTGTGTTTTTGGGATGCAGATGCTGGATTGTTTCAACATCCATAAACATCCGGGTTTCTGGATCACTTGTTGTGTTTCAAGATCGCTGGATGTTTATGAACTGCCCAGAAACCCGGACAGATGGATAACAATCCTGTGGAAGTGGTCAAGGCAACACCAACGTGTATGTGTATGTGTGGGTGTGGGGGCGGGCACGACGACTTGGCGATGTTGAATGAGTTTCTTCCAGAACTAACTTGCATGCATTCCACTAAAACTTAGATTCGATGAGCTCGTCACTTACTAAGGATGGGCCTACAAGCCATGGGCCTCCCTGCTCCCGGGCTTATGCCTGGCTTGCCTCCCATGCTGCCCCCAGGCATGCCGCCCATGCCAGGCATGCCACCCATGGGGATTCCGGGCATGCCACCGTTGCTGCCAGGGATGAAGGTCCCTGGGAGCCTTGGTAGAAAGATTTGATGGGGAGGGTTTGGGGTCCAAGCCACTGCTTGGTATGTCAATCTTTTGCATGTTTAAGCAATCCTTATGCACCTATGACAGACTTCAGATGGTTTCGAGAAGAGGGTGTTTCCTCTTGTTCTTTCTTTAGAATGCGAGATGAAGACCATTGCTGTTGACAAGAGCGATGATGGTGGTCGCATTCAGGAGCCAGTGGTGACAACAACTCGATCCATATTTTGCATCTTTTGTTCCACTTGCAGGTTTCTTCCAACAGATGCACTCCAGAAACAGGTCCACTCCACAAGTGGAACTCCTAAATGCCCAACTTAGGATGCCCTCCAGTGGCAGCTCCTCTGGTTCCTCCAGCTCTTCAGCCTCTGATCCGGACGACCCTGGTCACGGCGCCTCCGGCCGCGGCACCCGCCGCCGGAAAGTGCGCCGCGAGGGCCGCACGCTGCGGCGGCGCCGGCGGGAGCCTCGGGCCCCGGAGCCGGCGCTGGCGATCGAGGCACCACCCAGAAAGAAGATCGTGATGTCGGATTTGTGAGTTTTGGAGGGGGTCCTGCCAGTTTGAAGATGCAAGATGTTTTTTTTTGTGAGTGGTTTTGGAAGATGTACGTGAGAAAAAGAACATTCTATCACTTTTGGTGGTCTTTTGCTGGTGGTCGTATACAAAGCCTGCCCCTGATTGTTTGCTGTGATCCATGGATGTTTTGTGCTTTCCAGGGATCCCTTCCACGCGTTTCACGGCTCAACGATATAGGATTTCAAGACGCTCGGTCCTCGCTGGAAAAAGTGACGATCGATGGGCTGGCGGCTGCGGTCGATGTGGATGTGGACTGCCCAAGTTGGCTTTAAAGGCTTCAACCTTGGATGTTTGATGAATTGTTCTGGTTTTGTCAGCTTGCCTTTGGCTAATCATTGGAGGGCTATACTGCATCTTCATTGGAAAAAAAAATGTGCACTTGATTCTGGAGGAGATTTCCGTGTACTCAAAAGAAATCTGCGCACTTGAACACAAAATTGTGCAATTCTGTGAGCATGAGCATGGTCATGTATTAATTGAAACACACAAGCAGGCCCTGCTTGTCACTTGCGCCGGAGCCTGCGCTTCCAGCTCAACTTCCAAATCTTCCATTTCATTTTGATACGGATCCGGTCTAGCATGTGGCTGAACTCACTCTCTGACATATCCTGCTAGCATGTCCCACCACAGATTCATAAGCTTCATAATTGTAGGGTAGTGGACAGGGAAAGATGTGTATTGGATGGGAAAGATGTCTATAGGACGGGAAAAAAGTGTATTGGACGGGTAAAGATGTGTATTTGACGGGAATTTCCGGGTAGAACAAATTAGTCACGCGGGGCTTTTCTTCAACAAAATGGAGCAATGCCGGTTTGACAAGCTCCAAATCTATTGAGGGAGCAGCGGACGCCATTCCTTGGGATGGACACACCCTTCGACCCACAAAGGTGTCTCAATACTTCTGACATAGCTGCATGTTCTCATTTGTCACCGTATGACAGGCTTTGGAAGTGGACAAATGCCACCCAATACTGCCCAAAGGGCTACAATCAGAAAACGTGCATTTCAAGTGACTTTTTGTGTTTTTTTCCTGAAAGACGTGTAGTGCACAGGAATTTCTGAACGCACCATTATGTTTGATCAGTTGAGGTTGCACATACTGCACATATGCATTATGATATGTTTCTAAAACACCCTCAACATCCCTCAACGATCATTTTTTGAAGGTTTTTCTGTCAAGAATCCCAAAGCTACGATATACGAGTTTCCAACGATTCATCTCTGTTTGGGTTCCAGAGTTCCAGGTTGCTGTTGGTCTTTGTCACTTTGCTTGCTCCACAGGACACGGCGCTTCCGAAGGTGCTTTGGTACGGCCGCGCGCCCGTGAGCATGGACGAGTTCGAGGAGAGCTTCTTGGCGCGTTCCTTGGACCATCGACGTCGCGCGTCCGTCGCCAAACCGTCGTGCGTCGGTCCGCACGAAGAGCCTCAACGAGCGCTTCTGAAGAAGGAAGAGGGGTGAAGCAGGTGAACCAGTGCGGACGAGCTAAACGATATTGATAAATGTGGCTTGCAAAGCCCTGCGACTTGTAATGCTGCTAGCCACGGAAATATGAGATGCGCAGTGAAATGCACTAGCAAAGCAGACAAATACCCGCTACCTTCTATATTTGCTGATATTGTGTTCAGTATGTTTTGATGTTTTGATCCTCCATCCACATACTTTTCTTGATGTCGGATCAATTGCTCCGCTATCTTTTCAAGCACACGCCACAGAGTGCGGTAGTTAAAGTTATCACACCGTTGGAATACACCTCTGAGTCAACGTCAAACGGCTTCTGGATGGTTGTGGATGCCGGTCTGCGGTTGTGAACCGGTTTGGTTTTGGACATCTCACCAGGCGCTGAGCAGCGGAAGCGGCACCCCTTGCTGGCGCTGGTCTTGAAGCAGAAGAGGCCGGACGAACGGCGGCGGAGCGCACCATGCACCGTGCACCGTGGACCGTCGCCTGGGTGGATGTCGTGGCCATGCCGTTCGTAAACGGTGTCGTTGGCCAACCGATTGACCTTCGTGCGATCCGCCCAGACATTTGGCCCAAGAAGAGGGATTGGTGGTTGGCTGGTTGGTTGGTAGTTCGAGGACCGGCGGGAAGAGGAGGAAGACCGAGCCTGCGGGACAGGTCAGTCTGAAAAAACCTGGCAGGAAAACCATCACCGAACCCTTTCAGATCGGAGCGCTGATCGATCGGAGTGGGAGGCGTCTCTCGGCCTTGAAAGCCTTGCCGCCGTTGCTCGCTTGGCACGCGGTGCTCTTTGAGGCGGGTCCCATGTCAAGGTGGTAGATGTCGTGCAGTACATGGTGCGTTATTGTTCTTTTTGGAATAACAATTAGACATAATTAGTAACTATATTATATGAGGAGTTTGTTGATTTTGTTGGACCTTTAGAATGTCTTTCAAAGGGTGTTTTGTTGATGCGTCTTGTTGGTGTGTCTGCGTGTGTGCAAATAGATTGACAAGAAGAGAGCAATATAGGCGTTAGACAGATGCCAAGCTGACCCCACGTGGATTGCATGTTGCATGCTGCATCAGCCCATGCTCAACCATTTTTCTCACTAAGAGGCACGTAGTTTAAAGGGTCACCCCCCC